TTTAGAGTCAAAGCTATTAAGGAATTGTGCCTGGCCAGCCCGGGCAAGTCCGGGCATGTCAGGCTGAATACATTACACTACCGGAGGGCTGTTGGGAGCAGGGGGCGTGGCCAATCAGGAATGCAACTGGAACACTGTGCATTCCAGCCCAAAAATAGCCCTGCTTATGAGAGAGATGTATCATTGTCCAGCATAGATTGTAAGTCATTAATGATGTTTTGAACCTGTTAGACCTGAGAATTGTATGTGACCACCAGTGATATTCTGTTGTTGTTTCATTTGGTACTATCTTGCAGCAGGTTATCCCTTGGTATAATTCTTGCTTTGTTGATCTGTTTCCTTACCCACCTGAAAAGTTTTCAATAAGACAACTATTCCCAAGTTCCCTCTAAGCCTGGTGACTGGACTAGGGGGAAATGGAGGGGACAGAGTTATAACAAAGAGCATATAAGGCCCTACACAGAGAGGGAGGGTGTTCTCTCCAGGCCTGTATCCAGAATTTTGTGGCTTGTGGGGTAAATGTTTTTCTGGTGGGGCTGCCATTATTTGTGGCTTGGATTGTGCACCTGCAGCCTCTCTGCTTCTTCCCAAAAGCATTTAAAGGGATCCTTTAAATGCTTTTGAGAAGAAGCGGGGGGGTGGCGTGTCCTCCCTCCCTCCCCCCTGCAAGATTTAAGGGGCCCTCCAGCTGATCGACAGGCCACATGCTCCCTGCCAATCAGCTGAAGGCCCCTTTAAATCTTGCAGGAAGGGAGGGAGAAGGGTGCACATTACCCCCCACTTCTTCTCAAAAGCATTTAAAGGGATCCTTTAAATGCTTTTGGGAAGAAGGGGGCTTTTAAGAAGCAGGAGGCCTTTAAGGATGTTAAGTATGAGACTCAACACAGCTAGTGAACAGTGAACCAGCTTTTTTTAACGAAGTCAGAAGAAATCAGAACGAGACAAAAACATAGAGCAACAGGCTCTCTTTTAAACAGTCTGGGCTTAGGTAGCCACGCCCACATGTCAGCTAACAACCAATAACTATTTACAGATAAAGTCCAATCACAGTGCTTCCCTCCAGAACATTTGTTGTTGTTGTTGTTCAGTCGCACAGTCAAGTCCGACTCTTCGCGACCCCATGGATCAGATCCCGCCTGGCCTTCCAGGGAACAGTCAGGGTTGATTTCTTTTAGGACTGACTGATTTGATCTTCTTGCAGTCCAAGGGACTCTCAAGAGTCTTCTCCAGCATCATAGTTCAAAAGAATCTATTCTTCGGCGCTTGGCCTTCCTTATAGTCCAACTTTCGCAGCCATATATGACTACTGGGAATACCATTGCTTTGACCATGTGGACATTTGTTGGCAGGGTGATGCCTCTACTTTTTATCATGCTGTTTAGGTGTGCCATCGCTTTCCTCCCAAGGAGCAGGTGTCTTTTAATTTCATGGCTGCTGTCACAGTCTGCGGTGATCTGGAATCCCAGGAACGTGAAGTCTGTCACTACTTCCACTACTTCCCCTTCTATTTGCCAAGGAGTGATGGGGCCGGATGCCATGATCTTAGTTTTTTTCATGTTGAGCTTCAAGCCCACTTTTGCGCTCTCCTCTTTTATTCTGAGCAAGAGTCTCTTTAGGTCCTCTTCACTTTCTACCATTAGAGTGGTATCGTCTGCATATCTGAGGTTGTTGATCTTTTTCCCAGCTATCTTAATTCCCGCTTGTGATTCATCCAGGCCAGCATTTTGCATGATGTACTCTGCATATATATTAAAAAACCAAGGTGACAATATACATCCTTGTCGTACTCCTTTTCCTATGCTAAACCAATCAGTTGTTCCATATCCGGTTCTGTCGCTTCTTGACCCTTATACAGGTTTCTCAAGAGACATGTGAGGTGGTCTGGTACTCCCATCTCTTTAAGGACCTGCCATAGTTTGTTGTGATCCACACAGTCAAAGGCTTTAGCATAGTCAATGAAGCAGAAGTAGATGTTTTTCTGGTACTCTCTTGCTTTTTCCATAATCCAGCGAATATTGTCAATTTGATCTCTAGTTCCACCTCTTCGAAACCCAGCTTGTACTTCTGGCAGTTCTCTATCCACGTACTGTTGAAGCCTAGCTTGTAGGATCTTGAGCATGACCTTGCTAGCGTGTGATATGAGTGCAATCGTGCAATAGTTTGAACATTCCTTGGCATTGCCCTTCTTTGGGAGTGGAATGTATACTGACCTTTTCCAATCCTGTGGCCACTGTTGCGTTTTCCAAATTTGCTGGCAAATTGAGTGCAGCACTTTATTGGTCTATTTACAATCCTGGTTCAGACTCAAGCTTAACAAAGTTTTCAATACATAACAAAGGAAGAGGGCAGAGTGGAGTCCCCAGTAGCCCCACTGGGCCAGGTTCTCTCCCTGGAAACTGACCTGTAGTGAAGCTGCTTTGGGAGGGAGCTGATCTTTTGCCCTATGGAGGGGTGAGTCTGGCCGACTTGGATCAGGTATTGAAACAAAGTAGGGACTAAGGAAGGTAGTCATGTCAGAGACCTCTGTTGATTTCTGGTCAGCATCCTTCTTTGTGAGTTTTGCCCTGTATTAATTCTACTTCATTTTTATAACTTTTTCCCTATTACTTGTTGTAGTGTTTAATAAACTTTTTTCGGCCTGGATTCTTCATGCATCAAGGTTGGCCATACATCAGGACATGTCTTGCCTAAAGAGGTGGTGGCCTGGAAGAAGGGAAGGTACTCTGGGCCGCCTCCAGTAAAAAGACTGGTGGAAATCAGTTAAGGCCCTTGCTTACTCCATGGCTGAAGGGGGCAGGAGGAAAGGAGGGTGTGTGGGGGAGAGAGGCCCCTGGAAGGCAAAACCTACACCCAGACCATGGCAAGGTCTACTCAGAAATGTCCCACTTTATGCAATGGAGTTTCCTTCTGGAAAAATGTTTTTAGAATGGCAGCTTAAACTACTTTAATATTATAAAATACAAAGTAAATTTTCAAAATCATTTTTATCCTTTAAAAAAACTGTTATTTGATTGAGAAGTTGATTAACAAAATGCCATATATGTGACTGTGCATATATATGTGAATTAAACATAGAATAAAGGTGTACTTACCTATCAAAACTATAAGCTCTCTAGAAACTTTAGGTCTTTCACCAGGAGTGATTTTAAAGATCATCAGGATTTTTAAAACCCTTTTATAAACAGGGCCAAGATCCAAAGTGCTCCTATATAGAGATGTTCATAGAGTTTGTACTATCTCTGCTAGATTCATAACTGTTTTTCTTTAGATAAGAGACTACCATGCAATATTAAAAACTGCTGGTAAAACTCCCCTCAGATTAAAAAGCAATTAGCCATGCTGTGAGGGAGGCTACAGTTTATTAATGAAAATAAATTCAATTTTAAATTCACAATAGCCTGCAATCACATGCACCAATTACATAAATATTTTAAATAGTTTTTTATCTCAATCAAGTTTAATTACTGAAGGAACATTTCAAGGATAGAGTGTGTCCACAGCAAGGTTTTTATTAGAAAGATAAAATATAAATTTATTGTAACAACGGGAATGCAGACAGTCCCATAATAATTTGTTGTAAATTATTTTGGCATTAATTGATACCTGTTTAGTAATCTGTCAGATCTGTTTTCTAATATTAAAAAAAAGAATTCTGACATGCCAAGCTTCCCATTTTCACCCATCTTCCATTCCAAATAATGGACAATTCATATCAGGTATTCAAAGTATGAGCACTTGCAGTTGCTAGGGTAGCTGTGAACTCATCCTTGACCCATTCTGAGTCAATTGTGTTTATATTAATCAGCCCAGGAGTGCTAATCTGCCAGTGCTAGCAGTAGACATTTTTACCCTTGAAATGAAAAGACACTCTCATCTCCTCTCCAGTGTTTTCTGGCAACACTCAGCTCTGGTTAGGAAAATACCACCCTTTTTGGTAGTAGAATGTGCCATCAAGTCACAGCTGACTTATGGCAACCCCTGTGGAGTTTTCAAAGCAAGAGCCATTCAGAGGTGGTTTGCCATTGCCTGTCTCTTTGTCACAACCCTGGACTTCTCAGTGGTCTCCCAAATACTAACCAGGGCGAACCCTGTTTAGCTTCCAAAATCAGGAGATAGTTCATATCTAGGTCAGAGCATCCCTTCTTACTGCTTCATATAATTCTAGCTTTAAAGTCTACCGTTCTTCTCCTTTCCCATCTTCATGAGTTGCGCATGTTCTGTAAGGAATGATGATAAATGTGCATATAAGTTGCTAAATAGCCCTGTTCTGACCTTTCACCATAAGCTATGTTGAAACCGAGCTGGTGTTTCAGACAGGGTGGGGGATCAGGGACATCCTGTCACACAAACGCTGAAGAACTGAGGCTGAGCGAACAAGCAGTGGCAGGAAATCTAAAACTCCAAGTACACCCAGACTCAAGCTGCCCTGGGGCCTTTTGAAGGAGTAAAAATATAAAAAAAGCGAGCCGGGCTTTGCATAAAAGTATAAAAATGAGAGCCGGGCTTTGTGTGCCAAAAGTTCAAAAACTAAAGCATCGTGCGGAAACCAGTTAGTGATGTGCGAGCACTTTAAAGAACGAATTTGACTCCGTGGAAAGGACCAGTCCGACGGCAGGTGTGCGGGCTTCTGTTTCCCAGCCGAGTGGAAACTGCGTCAGGTGCTAACGAAGTGGTGTGAGGTACTGTAATTCTTATCTTAGACGCCCTTTTTTGACAATTCCTCAAGCCTATCACATTACTTTTGGCAACATCACTTTCTCCCTGAATGCGTCCTCCCCACCCCTTCCGCTGACGGCTCCTTCCCCCCTCTGAATCGACCACCCTGCCCGCCTCCCTCCCTACGCCCGCCAGCCTCCTCCTTTCTCGTCGCCCCGCCTCTGAGGCGGGCTCGGCGCCTGCGCAGACTGCTAGGGAGGCCGGGACGCGGCGGCGGCAGGCGGGCGGAGGAATGCGCGTTACAGTTAAATAGTGGGTACAGCGGCCGCAGGAGGGGGGGGTGGCGCTTGTGGAGTCGGGTGAGGGCGGCGGGCTGAGTAGCGGCGACTGCTGGATGAGGACAGGGTCAGCCCGGGTTTCGACTCCGTCGTGGGGGTAGGCAGTCGCGACGTGGAGGGCGAGGCGGCGGACGGAGGGCGCGCCGGCTGAGCAGACGGATGGGCTCCATGGCTCGGCGTGGGCTCCTGGAAGGCAGCAACGCCAAGGGCTCCTCCTCCGCCGCCGCCGCCGCCGCGAGTAGCGGCGCTGGGTTCCCTTGAGAGGCGCCTTCCCGCTTGAAGGGAGGGGGCGCTAACTGTCGCCTGGCAGGCCGGAGAAGAGAGGAGGCGGCGGGGGACTCTGGGTCTCCGTCCTCCCTGACGGGCGCGCCGGGGATTGGAGTTGGCGGCGTCGGCGGCGTCTCTGCCTCTATGATGAAGTTCAAGCCGAACCAGACGCGCACCTACGACCGGGAGGGCTTCAAGAAGCGAGCGGCGTGCTTGTGCTTCCGCAGCGAGAGGGAGGACGAGGTGAGAGCGGGACTCGGCCGGGCGGCCTCGGGGCGCGCCGGAGCGAGATCACCGCGCCCAGCCCCCTCCCGGCGGCGCCGCCCGCCCGCGCGACCCCTTTGTGTGCGGGGTCCTACGGAACGGGCGGGGCCTGCTGTCGCCCCCTTGCGTGTCTCCTCCTCGGTCCCTGCCCGCCGCCGTGGCCACTATGGCCGCCGAGGAGCAACGATGCTGGCTGGGGAATGTCACGTTCCTCTCTTTGCTCTTCCGTGGGGTCGACTGGGATGCCTCGTAGGCTGTGCCAGGCAATCCAGGCTACAATTTGTCGCTGTAGGCCGGGCTGGGAGTGAAACTGCCCGTAGACTTGGTAGTTGGGTCCTAACTCAGAGCAAGTCAGCTGCTCTTTAAAGTCAGCGAGTTGACATTCAGAGGTGCGATGGCCAGCCGTGCCTTGAGCATTGCGCATCCTTCCTTCCCTGTCATCAGTCGGACTGGATAGAGCTGGCTGTCTCCGCTGGTGGCCTGGTGTGTTTCAGCATCCTGTTTCTTACCCGGGGGGACGGGGGACGGGACGGGACGACAGCAAGCAGTTTTTGTAGACACCCCCCCTTTAAAAAAAAGCCCCATAACAACCAAAACCCTACAGGCCAGGCAGATAGGTGATACCAGTTCTTATTCATGCAAGAGTGATTTCTGTAACTGATGCCTGGAGATGACTCTTGTGTTTGCTGCTTCTCTTTGTTACTTTGACGAGTGACAGTAAATTCCTGGCTAGCTACTATTAATGTACAATGCCAGGTAGGTCAACGGTAGTATTGTGTCATACTTATGCTAATTTCATGCATAAAACTGCTTGTGACCTAAAGTGCATTTTTATAAGGAGTTGCTTTGAATACTTGATTCTTACATCACATTTCATTCAACAGTGTGCAAAATGTACAGTAATACTGTGCAGGCTTTAAAATGCTGCGAGTACTTTATCTCAGTCTCAGTAAAATATTGCCTGAAAGAAAAAATATTATTTGCTAAGCAGGCAGATTCCCCACTACTTTAGAGGCATTTTAAGCCACAGTGTAGACTTGCCTTCTGGTGTTTGTCAAATAGTTGTTCCAGCAATATCGAAGTCATTTCCTGGTTATGGAAATACTAGTACTTGGGTCTGTTGTGGATGAGACTGTGCATTTGTATTGGGGAGTAAGCCCCATTGATCATACATATTTTATTTTTTTTGGAAGAGTGGCACAGAAATCTTCTAGAGACAGTGTTTGAGTTGAGCTACAGTGTAAAATGTAATAAATGTAAATTAAAATCACAATTCAGTAAATTAAGTAAAGATACATAAAAAGGAGACTACTTGTTAATGCAATTTCTCCTCCCAGTGGTCACCTCCAGTGTGGGCTGTTCCAACATATTCTGAATGTTAATCATGGTTGCAAGGGACAAGACCATAGTCTAGACTTTAGTGCTTTATGACATCTGGATGTTTATACTATCTGCGAGAAATGTGTGGTATTAAACTTTGCATTGCATTTTGCTTTATGCATACATCCCAAGTCTGAGTGTTTCAAACTAAAGTCTCTCAGATTTTAACTTTTGGTTATACCCTTGAATGAAAAAATATCACCTTGCCTCTGTACATGGCAAAAAGGTGTCTGAGTAATAGGAAATGCCACTTGCCATTTAGAAATTACAATTGTAGGGGGAAACCAAGACATTCCTGCATCCATAATGTTGCATTCATAGGTTTAGCACTGGCAGCACCAGGACTGGGATTCCATGGAGGCTTTCTGCGGACAAAGGTGACACAGTTTTCAGTGATAAATTCAGTGACAGCCGATCTCCATCTCTCCTCTGCCTGCTGGTTCTGGAGGTTCTGGGCATTTGGGAGCTGTAGTGAGAAGGGGAGGCAAGGAAATAGTGCTATTTGGGCAAAAATTGCTTTTGGATCCAAGCCTGATAAAGGATGGTATGGTCACGTAACTAGAGGCAGTGTTGCCTAAAGCAACCTTATCTGTTGGAGCTATTGGCAGAAGCCCCACTCGTGATGTGATGTAGTTGTAGAATGCCTTAGTACAGTTGGGAAGTTGATGCTGGAAGTAAATGGGATTGCAGGAAGCTCCACCCATCTGATATAATGATAGTATGGTATTGCACAGTCCCCTGCATGCACAGAGACTGCCAACGTAGAGCGATAGCGATAGCTTTCTGGAGACTTTTCTTCTGTCCTGAACATTCTGGAATGTTAATGTGGTTAGCCAGGATTTCTCTGGTTTCTGAATGTAGTATTTTCTAAGCTGGCCTTAATGCTTTTCACATCATTAACTTGTAGTATCAGAGTGTAGTTATTAATGGAAATGAGAGTTAATAAATGTAGAAGGGTATTCACAAATTGACAATGCTATGAGCTGATACATGTACTGCATATTTGTATGGAAGAATTGCCACCCTTGAGTAGATCAAAGGTCCATCTAGTACAGCATTTTGAGAAATTCACAAGCATGGTGGTTGTTTTATAGTCTTATATTAAGCATCTATTTAAATTAGATTGTATATTGTCAGATGTTAAGAACAAACATGTTAAATCGAAGAACTAGCTCTGAAACTGAATCATGGATATCTGATTAAAAATGGATGAATGGCTGATTTTCTGTGTAGAAGACAGAACAGGGGCAGGGAGAGAAATACCTAAAGTTATAAATGACACAGTGCCATTATGGGCTTCCTACTGTACCCTCCAACTGGCTAGCAAATTATAACAAGTGTTGGATGTGCCAGGATCACCCACAGAGCCAATATGGATGATTATTTTCTACCTGAATTCTGGCAAAACAGTAGCTGTGTTAATCTGTTGTAGCAAAGAAAGAGAGGGATAAAGTGGCAATTTTAAGACTATCTAGGTTTATTCTAGCACAGATTTTTGCAAGTCATATCTTGTCCATATCTGAAAAAGTAATGTATGACTAGTATAAGTTTATACTGGAATAAGCCTGGCTAGTCTTAATGGTGCCACTTGATTTCTGTTTTGGTTCACCTGAGTTCTGCAGCATGTTGAGTTCTTAAATCATGAGTACTTAGCATTCTGTCAGCCAAACTGTATGGACAATTATTTTCATTCTTATGGAGAAACACTACTTCACCCAGTAACTACAATCACGATTCTGGAAGGTGTGGGACATTTGAGAGCCAGTTTGGTGTAGTGGTTAAGTGCGCAGACTCTAATCTGGGAGAACTGGGTTTGATTCCCCACTCATCCATTTGCACCTGGCTGGATGACCTTGGGCAAGCCATAGTTCTGTCAGAGCTGTTCTTGAAAAAGAGCAGTTTCTGTCAGAGCTCTCTCAGCCCCACCTACTTCACAGGGTGTCTGTTGTGGGGAGGGGAAGGGAGGGGAGTTTGTAAGCCGCTCTGAGACTCCTTTGGGTAGTGAAGGGCGGGGTATAAATCCAATCTCCTCGTCTTCTGATTCCCTGTGCATGGAAAACCCACTTTATTCATTGAGAATTCTGAATAGATGTGCATGTGATTACAGCTCTGACCTTCATGTAAGCAGTTGTGCATGTAGATATAAATGTGTGTCTAGGCAGACACAGTTCTGTAGTTCAAGGCATTTGGGTTGCAGTGCCCAGGATTTAGGATTCCCAGGCTGCTCAGAAAATACAAAGGAACTAGGTTCTAAACAGCATTGCACACATTTCAACTGTGAAATTGGTATAGATCATTAAATCAGTATACTCTGTTATATTTTGGCTAAGATCAAGTGTAGTATTGGATCTTATCAATATACTCTGTTATAAGCATGGCATGAATCTGACAGCCAGAAGTATCTTGTCAATGTGCACTCTCTGTTTTTTCAGTATCCTGTCTAACAGCTGTTGATACATTTGCTTTATAAAGTATTAAAATGTAGCTTAAACTAGTGGCAATGAATTTATATTTTTTCAGTTTATTGCATGAAAAGTCCTTCCAGACTCACCTTGAGTCATCTTGCTAATGCTTAAAATATAGTTAAATGTCTTATGTACAACTTGGGCTGTAGAGGGAGCTCTAACCCTACTAGATAATTAAGTGCACCAAATTTTTAACTGCTATTCTAGGCTGGAATAGCTTGCTTTGAAAGGGTGAGACTAACTCCTCTGCACATCTCAGAGCTAGTCCAGGACATGCAACAGTTCTACTGGGCAGGTAATTTTGCAGACCTGTTGCTTGAGCTGATGCAAAAATGCATGAGGGCAAGCTGGCCATCCTTGTGGGGTGGTCTGTTTTATGCTTATGGAGACTTGAGTAGCAGATCTGTTGATGATGACAAGCTTTACAGTCTTTATGGGAGGGGGGAAGCAACAGTTGATTTTGTTTTTAAGCAATATTATCCTGTTGGCAGTTTGTTCTTAAACAGCCCCCCTTCCCCCACACACACTAATTTCAGAAAACCCTGCAAGGAGTTACTGCTCAAAATGTACTCAAACGTCTGTGAACTTTAGGTCCCTGATGTAGTTGTGATAGTCATTATAACAGTAAATAAATTGTAAATGGAAATAATGGAATGGAATGTTTCGCTGTATAGCAAAAGTCTTGCAGTAACTACCCTTTCTTGCAACTGGTTGGATTTCCATGTAAGATTATGCTGCCATTATGCCAGTAGACTGTTTTGCTGGTGACTCCTTGTGCTCTTTGGTTGGCCTCAGTAGGATTAGCGAGAGTCTCATTCCTTGCTGTAATGAAGAAGCAGCTGACATTTGTATACCTCTGTCAGGATTCAGACTGCTTTCATTTGGTAAGTGGAGATGTTGTTGATATCAAGCTCATTTGATAATGGCATAATTAGAATGTTGATTGTGAGCTTTCAGTGTATATAATAGCTAGAAATCCCTGTTGTATAGTCTTGCATTAATTCAAATGAGTACCCTTTTTTTCTTTTATTTTTAAACTGCCCCCAAAGGGGCAGGGTTTTATTACATTTTTCACATAACATACACAATCATAACATATACATACATACTAATGTACAAACAGATACATGGAGG